CGAAGGTGTTTTAAGTCCCGCGATGATTTCTTTTCGAAAAGAAACCGGGGAGAGATGAGGAAATCCTTATCAATTTCCTTCGGAAGAGATTTCAGAATACTTTTCTTTCGAGTTCGTCAATTTTGTTCGAGCGAGGCGAGGGAGAAAGAAGGAAGATCCTCGACGAAATCGAGACGATGGAGAGGTGGACGGTTGAACTCGTCGCAGTTTACGCTTTTTTATCGTGACGCAATCTCACGCCCGTTTACGCGGCGTCACCCGTAAAAATCGTGCAATATTCCGTTCCTCGGGAGTCCCGCGAGTGTCGTTGCTGTGCTCGAAACTGCGAGTTGAAACGTTCGTCACGCTCGATTCGCGCTTTTACGCTTTTAATATAATACGCGTTACGAGAGTACAAAAACCGATACCGGATGAACAATTTGCCGTGATTCTCTTCTTTACACGCATACTTTGGAATCGTCCAAGGTCAAGGTTTTTTCTTCCTTCCTTCAAGTTTAGTTATTGTTTAAAAGCGTTTGTTTAGCATATTATTCCTTTGTAATTAATACGTATGGGAGGGTAGGATTGGAAGTGTTGGGTTTTAAAAGGCGTATTGAAATTGTATCTGATATTTTTAAAATTGGAAACTGATGTACGAATCAAACATTTTCTTCTTTTTTATTTTTCCTTTTAATTCGATCAGATAATAATTTAACCTTTTTGCTAAGCGTGATTTTAAAGGAGCATTCATATTTATGAGTAATTATTATATGGTACGGTAATTGTTTCATCATTGTCGACTCGACTCCCGTTAAAGCGATTGATGTTCGCTGAAACGTGAAAACAAACGTTATTTTATTCATCTGTAACAAGAATCGTGTCCGATGGGTTATTTGTGATTAAGAGATTTGGAAGATCACGAGAGAAGTCGAGAGATCGAAAAAAGAATAATTCGAAATCTAATCCTGTGTGATTATTAACAAATTTTGAATATAAAATAACTTTTTTCGATTCGAATTTCGCGCGAGTTTATCGTAATCTTTGGCTTCGAATATTATCGATATTAATTCGTAATCTAAATCGAAAAGCACAGGGGCAAATAATATTGCAACGATAAAGATTGACAATATTACCAAATGAAAAAATAAGTACTATAACAATACTGCGATACGATACTTAACGAATACGACGCGAAGAACGTAAGCTATGGAAAAGAAATCTATATTTAGCTTTCCTTTTTCCAGTGCAAAACGTAACTTATTCATTGTCTCTCTCTCTCTCTCTCTCTTCCTATCAAATTATATTATATACTATACGTCAACTCGAATCAATTATTTATCATTAAACACCTGGTATACGTCCAAGATACTAGTGTTTCGAGTCGAGTTGTTGACTTTCGACCCCCACCTTCCCCTCGTCCCGCGCCTCGAAGACGGGAGAGGAGAGAAAAAAATTAATCGAGCGAGTGGAAGGGAGAGGCAAGATAGTCCCAAAATTCGCGTTAATAGCCATTTAGGAGTGTCTGCCGGAGTCGAAGGGACAGACGCGCACCGTCTCTTTGTACCCTTAATTTCATTAGGTCGGCCATCTCTCCTTTCTACCGGCGAACCGTAACTCCGTTATCGGGAAGCACGACTCCCTAAATACGACCCGTTAATATTTTTCCCCATCTCGAGGAAACGTTCCTCGACGCGTCGTCGTTGTCGTTAAATAATCGTTTCCACCCTCGTTGCAATCAAATTAGCCCGTTCCACGAACCATTCCCTCTCTCCTAACTCTCTTTCTTTCATATCCTATACATGTACATATATTTTCTTCTTCTTTCGAAGAAGAAAAAAAAAAAAAACTACGAAACTTCTTCTCGCTCCCCTCTAAGGTACTAAAGAAGGTACTAAAATCGTGTTCTCACGATCGAATTTTCGCGAGAGAAAAAAATTGTAAGGAGTAACGTTCAAATTCCGAGGAGAAAGAATATATCGCGCGGATCCACTCGTTTAAGTCTCAGGGGGTGGCGGCGCACGAAACGCGCGGTTGGTCCACGACGCTTGGTTTCCTCGGGGGTCTCCGTTTCCCTCCGTTTTGGCGGGACAAAGGGAAGGGGGGAGGAGGAGGAAGAGGAGGCTCGCTCGAAGAAGAAATCGGTTGAAATTCAAGAAGGAACGAAGGGAGAGAGAGCGAGAGAGAGAGAGAGGAGAGCAAAAGGAGGAAAACCTCGGTACCGCACGACGATACTCGAAACGAGCGTCGACATCGCGATCGACATGGAGGGCAGCGAGCCGCCACCAAGGGAGAGGAGATCGCGAAAGGGGGGTGGTGTAGCAGGAAGAAGCAGAAAGAGAGAAGAGAGGAGAGAAGGACATGGGAGGACCGCGAGAGAACGCGGCGCGAACCGGAACGGGAACGCGAGCAACGTTCGAGCGGCGGCCACCACCACCACCACCAGGGCATCACCACCACCACCACCACCGCCGCCACCATCGCCACCACCACCACCACCACCACCACCACCACCACCGCCACCGCCACGAGCACCACCACTACCATCGCCACGATCACCACCTCCGGTGGCATCGGTGTACGCCGTGACCTCCTCTCGTCGTCATCGGTGGATCGTAGTTTCGGGAGGCCGATCGGCGGCGGGCTTCTCCTCTCCGATCTGCCGCCGCGGAGAATTTCTCTTCTTGCAGGCGCGAGGCGAGAGAAGGCCGATCGCGCGAGGGAGAAAGAAGGAGAGGCGGTATTAGGCGGTCTCGGGGGGCGGCGCCTGTCGGCGCGTCCGATCGGAAGGTGAGGCTCGCGATTGGCCGATGCGGCGGCGGGGCGAGGGGAGGGGGCGAGGGCGCGCGAGCGTTCCTCCACCCGCGCCCGTGGCTCGCTTCGCGGCATTCTCGCTCCTCGTCGCTCGACCGTACACCTGTCTCGCTCCCCCACCGTCGCCCGCCCCTCCCTCGCCCCGCGCCCACCGGCTCCACTCCGCGGTTCTTTGTCCCGCCTGCGCCCGTCCCTGTCGCACCGCCTCGCCCGCGCTCTTTCGCTCGCTCTCTCTCTCTCTCTCTCTCTCTCTTTCTGCCTTTCTGTCTTTCTTGCTCTCTCGGCTCCCCCCTCCCCCGCGCGCGCGCGCGCTCCCTTCCTCCCCCCCCCCCCCCTCGCCCTTCCCTCCCGCCCCGCGGAGTCGGCGCTCGCACCGCAGCAAACACACGGTATCGGCGCTCGGCCGCCTCACGGACCTCTCTACTGCCGTTCGAGCGAGCCGTCGCCGCGGCGAGCCTCTCAGTTGCGACGCGCTCGTCACGGGGTGCAGATCGTGCGCGCTTCGTCGTGTCGCTCTATCGGTCTCCGCAACGCGCGCGGCCATACACAACCGCGCGCACGTTTTTCCCTCCCCGTATCGAGATAGAGATAGAGATAGAGATAGAGAGAGAGAGAGAGAGAAAGAAAGGGAAAGAGATAGATAGATAGATAGAGATATACAAAGGGAGTGAGAGAGAGAGAGAGAGAAAGAGACAGAGAGAGAAGGAGAAAGATTCATCGAGCTCGAATCACTTTGGTGCTCCGTAAACGAGAGAATTTTTTTCAGTGTTTTCTTTTTTTTCTCCCTCCCCCCCTCTTCTACTTCTACTTCTTCTTCTTCTCCTCGGTGTGATTCTCTTCTCCTCGTTGTTGTGTTGTCGATGTAAAAAAATATACGATATATATATATACATAATTCGGTGCTTCGACGACGAACATTTTTGGAAACATTTTTTTCGAGACAACCGTTTCTTTCCCGATTCTTCTAAGAAACAGAGAGAGATAGAGAGAGAGAGAGAGAGAGAAAAAGATCGTGACGTGGGGAAAAGAAACTGTGAAAAATCGTGAAAAAACACACATGTGAATTTCGTTTGAGAATATTCGTCGTGATATATATATATATATAAAATATATATATATATACGGGGAGACAGAAATAAAGAGAAAAAAAGGAAGAGAGGCAAATAGTGGAAGGAAGAGTCCCGGTTTCGGTGGCGCGCGCTGTTGAAACGCACGGTGTTGTCACCCCTTTTTCGAAAGTCGCGCGCGAGCGCGCGCGCGCGCTGGCCCACGCCAGCCGGTTGGCTCGTAATCCGCGGGTTGACGCGACGCGACGCGACGTGGATCATCGGTCGATTCGCTTTCCCGGCGTCGTGTTGACGATGCGCCCCGTTCTCGTGTTACCGTGATTTCGCGCTGGATTTTCGGATTTTCGAACTTTCCAAGAGGAGAAACTCTCCAACTTCTTCTCGAGAAACGAGAACAGAGAGAGAGAGGGAGAGAGAGAGAGAGAGAGAGAGAAAGGGATCGAAGGGCGAGGGATCAGGAAAGGGGAGAGATGAAATCGGTGACGAGATCCTCGGGTGAAAGAATCCCGTGCACGTTCGACGGATAGGCTCGAGCGCTTGCTTTTTTTCTCTTCTCCCCCCTCCCCAGCGAACGAAGAGAAAAGGAAATAGAAAAAGGAAAAAAAGAAAGAGGAAGGAGACGCGCGTGCTATTTCTCTCGCGCGTGGCTGTGTGTACGTGGTGTGTTCCAGATGCGGCCTCGCTGTTGAGAATTCGTCGGCGACAGGTCGGTAGAGAGGGAGTGGACGAAGAAGTTTCGACGACCGAAAAACGGAGGGAAGGGTGAAAGCGAAAGAGGAGGCCGCGGAACGCGTAAGGAAGCGCGCCAAAAGGCCGAAGGAGGCGGGGGAGGCGGAGGGGGAGGAAGAAGAGGAAGAGGAAGAGGAAGAGGAAGAGGAAGAGGAAGAGGAAGAGGAGGAGAAAGAGCGAGTCGAAAGAAGAAGAAGCGGCGAGGAAGAAGAAGAAGAGGAAGGGAGGNGAAGAGGAGGAAGAGGAGGAGAAAGAGCGAGTCGAAAGAAGAAGAAGCGGCGAGGAAGAAGAAGAAGAGGAAGGGAGGAGAGGTGGAGAGGAACGAGTACGAGAGCGAGAACGAAGAAGAAGAGGAAGAGGAGGAGGAGGAGGCGGAGGAGGAGGAGGAGGAGGTCGGGGCGGAGGTGGAGGAGGAGGGAAACGGGGTGGAGGAGGTGGGAGGAGGAGGAGGAGGAGGAGAGAGGAACGGAAACGGAAGAGGAAGAAGGAAGGATCGAGGCCGGAGGACGAGGTTTCTCGACGCGGCAAACATGACGCAGCAAAGCGGGGCTGGGTCGCCCCAGCAATTCTGCCTACGTTGGAACAATTACCAGACGAATCTGACCAACGTGTTCGACCAACTTCTCCAGAGCGAGAGTTTCGTTGACGTGACCCTTGCCTGCGACGGGCACAGCGTGAAAGCGCACAAGATGGTACTGTCCGCGTGCAGCCCTTACTTCCAAGCCCTTTTCTTCGACAATCCATGCCAACACCCGATCGTCATCATGAAGGACATCAAGTGGCCCGAGCTCAAGGCCGCCGTCGAGTTCATGTACAAGGGTGAGATAAACGTGTCCCAGGAGCAGATCGGCCCCCTCCTCAAAGTTGCCGAGAGCCTGAAGATACGCGGCCTGGCAGACGTGAACAACGAGCACGAGTTGACGTCGAGATCGAACCTCGAGGAGGCGGCGAACGCCGCCCTTCACAGGAAGAAGAGGCGCCGAATATCGGGCGAGAGATCGCCCCCCGCGTGCAGCCCCGACCGGATCCCCGGTTCGGGGAGCATCCCCGACGACCAGGAGCCGAACCAGGTGGGCGGCGGGGTGATCGTGCCCGACATCCACGGCATGCTGCCCAGCAGCTCGACCCCGCGATCCCTCGGATCCCCGGGCACGCCCAACGTCTCCGTCACGCCGCAGATCAACCTCCAAGAACTTCCGGTATCGCTGCCCCTGCCGCCACCGCCACCGCCGCCCCCTCAGCCCGGCCAGCCGAGCTCGCACTCGATACCCGCTCACCACGTGCCTCCCCACGTGACTTCCGTTCCCCACGCGCCCGTCAACCACCTGACCGCCCATGGCCAGCAACTTGCCGGCCTCCAGCAGCAGCAGCAGCAGCAGCAGCAACAGCAACAGCAGCACCTCCCGCAGCCGGGACCTATCCAACCTAATCCCGGGGACGATCTCGAGATCAAGCCTGGCATCGCCGAGATGATTCGCGAGGAGGAAAGGGTGAGTCTCTTTTCTTTTCTTTCCTTTCCTCTCCTTTTCTTTTCTTTTCTTTTCTTCGAAACAATTGCTCGCGTTTGCATTTATTTATTTATTTATTTATTTATATACGATGCGACAGCAGCGAGGTGGAAGGAGGGAAGATTTTGGAGGAGAGAGGGAACGTTTGGCGCACCGCATGGGGCGCGAAATCGCGGCCCGCGCTCGACCGCCTCGCCGGTGAAACGACGAACGGCGGGCGGGGCGGGGGGCGTTGAGAGGGGAGGGGAAGCACGTTTGTCGACGCAACAATCGAACGTAGGGTAAACATACGCGACAAAAACCGCGCGTAAACAACAACGAGAAAGCCCCGTTTATATTCGTTTCGAAATATATCTATATCTATATATATATATATTCCGCTATATCCACGCGACGAACTTAAATCGTAAGGAAACGTGGCTACGTTCGGATCGTTGACACCAAAGGGGGAGAGGAGAGAAGGAATTGGCGGGAAGAATCGATGACGGGACGCGTCGAGGCGTTTTTCGAAACTTTTGGTTAATTACGTTTCGGGGGACGGTTGTTAACGAGATCTAACGTGGTGAAAGTTTTGGTGACGTCGCGGATTCGGAAGGCGACCTTGGAAAAACGGAGAAGGATGGGCAAAGTCGATGGCGTGGGAAAAGGCGGCGCGCAAATTTATAATTGGCGAGGGGGAGGGGGGGGGGTAGGAGGCGGCTAGACGACGTGGCTAGGCCACGAGGCGAGAGATCGTAGGTTAGGGACCGGCCAATTACCGTGCATCGGCCACGGTCCGGAATGTTTTCGAGCGTCGAAACGTCGTCTCGTGACGGGGAAGACCGAGCCTTTTGCCGGGTGAGGTCCAATTACCCGGCGATCGGCTTCGACGGTGTGCACTAATTGAGAGTATCAATGAACGTCAATGAGCATAGTCAATATTTGGACGGGGAGCATTCGACCGTTTTGTAACGTTCTTTTTGTTAAAACGAATGACAAATATTGACTACGCGCTCGTTCGCGCATACGTGACACACACCGGGTATCGACTGTTCTCGTTAATTACATCGGGACGACGGTGTCTCCTGCATTATTTATCGTTCGCCACCGACGCAAGTTATTAAACGAACAGCTAGTGGCCGCCGCGTCCTCTCGTTTCGCCTCTCGTTCTCGTTGCCACCACGACGATTCGTCCATCGTTGTTTCCGCCCTTCTCGAGCCTTCGTCTTGAGCGCGAACCCGATAACGTTCGCGCCGCTGTATAAATTGTTGATATTCTCTCTCTCTCTCTCTCTCTCTACACAAGAAGCAAAATGTTTTTTTTTTTTTAATCGCTTTTCATCGATCGAGCTTCTTCTCGCTTGAGCTAGATTTCAGGGGCGAGTCTGCTCTCCTCTCCGCTGTTTTTGTAACAGGGATTTTTTTTATATAAAGGAACAGATGTAGGTATATAGAAGGATGGAAATGTTTCGATTTTTCCCTTTTTCTTTCTTTTTTCTCGTTTTTTCAAAATAAGTTTAATAAGACACGCTAGGGATTTCGACGAATGCCGAATTATCAAATGTGCCGGAATTATTGGATTATCGTGTTAATATTCATATACATGATAATAATATTGTCACGATAATGCAATTGTTGCAATGCAAAAATAAAAATATGCAAATATACGACTGTCGAGCTCGAACGAAATATTTCGTACGCTTTGCGAAAATCTTTTCCGTTTGTTAATTAAATTCGATCCATGCCGATCGATTTCGAGTGGAAGAAGGTATCGAGGGATATCGATAAAATTCCATCGATCGATGAAAAAAAAGAAGAAGAGAAAAAGAAAATTGGTAAACATCGCGAGGGATCGACCGTTTGCTGAGCAAAGCGGAAAATTGAATCGAGCGGTCGGTTGTCGGAATATTATTTTTCTATCGTAAAGTATATATATATATATATATATATTCATATACACATATATATATATATATATCGTCATGGTGACGCAATCGGGTATGTATAATGGGTATAACATTCCGCGGAATTCCATTATGTTAACGCAACCACGTTCCAATTCTCCGGGCATGCCTGCTCGTATCGTAATACGCTAGTATATCGCAACTATTCCGGCGAAACCTCTCCGATTAAAATGCCTAATTGATGCGGGTACACCTAATAGAAGGGCCAACTCTCTCCGTTCTCTATTCGTTTCGAATATATTCCGAGGGGAGGTGGAGGGGCCCGATCCGAAAATTACCCGCGTAATAATAAAAGTGACGCCTCTTTATATATATATATATCCTCCCCTCATCCTATACAGTATATCGTGAAAAACACTCCTCCCCTCTACTTCTGAGTGCGAGAAGCGCCGCCACTCAAGGATGGATTATTAAAGATTTAGCCGCCGCAAAGGATCGTTTCCCACCGTTCCAGCTGGATTTCCTTCGGATTAAAGAGCCTTAATGAAACGAAATTTAAATATAAATTGTCTTTTAACTCGTGCTTCGATCCACGATGGCCAGAAAATTCGTAGCCGGCCGGTATAAACGAAGGAATGAGCGAGCGAGGACGACGGGCAGATCCTTGCGCGATTGTTATTCCTTATATAATCGTGCATCATCGTTGTGCATGTGTATGTGTATATATATATATATATGCACGTTACAAATATAGAAAGGAAGAGAGAAAAAGGCGGGTTGGGAAAAATTTAATCTTCCCTCGCGTTACCCTTTTTGGCAATAACACGCCGTTACACTCCCCCTTTCTTCTCTTCCTTTACACCGTGGAGACAGATATATACGATTCGACCGATTCCTGTCGCGACGCTCTGGACGCACAGATGGATCTGAACTGGGGAGAGAAGGGGGAAGAGGAGGTTAGGCGTTAGGGGGTGGAAAAAGTAAACGCGGAACGGTAAATCGTGAATCGTGCACTGGCAACACCAGAGGGGGGGGCGCCATTCATCGTGATACGCAACGGATGCGACTACATATTTCCTTCGTTCCGTTCCGTTTAAATTAGTGTTTTTTTCCCCGGGTCTTGATTGTGTTTCCTCCGCCCCTCCCTCGCCTCGCCCCAACTTTTCACGCACGCGTATCGATTCTCCGCGTTGATGAACGCGTAACGGGCCAGCTAAGCGATATATCAGGAGCGTGATTTTGGATGGAGGAGGAGGAGGAGGAGGAGGAGGAGCGAGATACGAGGGCAGCGGCAAAATTGAAAAGTTTGATGTATTAAAATGCGTGCGACACACACACACACACACACCGCTCTTCTTCTTTTTCTCTTCCCGAGCGTATATGTATATATATATGCGCGCGTACGTAGACTACGCGCGTCTACTCGATTACACCGGCCGTCAAAAAGTGATCGAGAGTTTCGCGCCTATCGCAGGCTTCGATCTTAAGTCCGCCCTCGCTGCGCCCGAGACACGCGCGATACGCGGCCGCTTCGTTATCGTCCGTTTGTCGTTGTCGTTGCGCGGCAGGGGAACGGGGGATCGGGATTAATTTAAGCCTCCTCCCGAGATTTGTTCGGCCGTGTGATTCGATTCGGCCGTTTCCACTCCGGGTGGATCGAGCCGCGGCAACGTTTCTCCCTCCAGCCCACTTTTGCTTGGGTTACGGTTATTATACTAATATTTGCCGTTTCAAACGGCCTCTTTCCTCCCGAGAAGAAAATATAAATCATGATTCGTGTATATGTATATATATATGTATGTAAAAAAAGGATTTCTGCGCGTATCCAGTTTCTGGGAAGAGGTTTGCTTTACGTATCTTTTCGTCAGTAATAATCGTAGGTAAATCCTCGATATTTTTTCCTTCTTTCTTTCCTTTTTTTTTTTTATTGAAAAGATATAGAAAATATAGAAAATAATCCTATCAATTTTTCGGTAAGAAATATCTGTGATAATAATATGGAAAAAATTCGATATTTCTAACTCGATCCTCTCAAACTTCGCGTTCTATTAGAATGCAAGAAGATCAATATTTATAAAGTTGAGATATTAGCGCTTAAAGATACGTTAAAAAATTCAAATAACGTTTCTTTCTTTCTTTTCCTCTTTTTTCGCAAAAGTCGCACAAATATTTGCAATATTTCGCTCCCCACACCGCGTTATTCTCTTTATTCGTCGACCACGCACGCGATCTCACGATACTCCAAGGAACAGCTTCGATGGCTTCCGGCGATGGCCGGCTAGAGTGAAGTTTCGAGGCGGCAAGGACGAAGCCGGAAGAAATTGGTGGGTCCACGGCCACGGTTATAATTTCGGTGTTGCGCGAAAGAAAAGAGGGAGGAATTTTTGGGGGAGAATCGAAATCGAAACGCCGCGTTCACGTTGCTACCATATCCTCCTCCTCTCCCTCCGTATTTATAATAAGGGGGGGGGGGCTTGGCTAGCTATAATGATACCTGGCGTCTTAAATATTTCAAAAATTGCCTTCCCAGGAAACTGTCGAGCACGACGGCTAATAATACTCCGAATGTAACCCCCTTCTCCTCTCTCCTCCTCCCTCCTATTTTTCTCCCACTCCATTATCCATATATATTACACGTACAATTATTATTCAAACAACTCACCGAATTTCGTGTGTCGAATCTAGAAAAATCCGAGTAGCTTCTATTACTCCTCCTAAAAAAAAAAAAAAAAAAATAATAAAAGAAAGGGAACGGCAAGGGAACGATAACGCCGGTAGGAGGGGGGGAGGGTACCGGTTTCCATTTTCCAAAATGCCGGATGGATCTGGTGGCGCGCGGCGGCGATGCACGGCGGCCGACAGCTACCCGACGAAGCCGCGGTAAATCAGAAATTATCTTGCGTCGCGTCCGAGTTGCGCGCTGCCTTTTCCCCGAATCGAAACGCGCATAAATACACGGGAGGGACACACACACACAGAGAGAGATACTGCGTGCAGTAAGAGCGAGAGCGTCCCGCGCATCGCGGCACCCTACACATGACACGCATCTACGCGTTCAACATTAGCTCGAATCTGCAGAGATATATGTATATATATATA